AGACACCTATAAAGTCAAAGTAGCATCTATAAAGCTTCTAAGAAGCTTCCATATCAAATACTATAGAATTAACTTACTTTTACCTACTTTTATTTATTTCTACCTATTTATACATGTAATTATTGGCTTACATGCATATGTCCGTGACAGCCACACATGTTGGTAGCTTGAAAAAAAAGCTAACTATATGGCCTACACATAAAAAACTTGCCTTATAAGGTAAGGCATGTGTCCTGCAAAGTCAACACATATTAGAAGTCTTATAGAACATTGCCACAAAGCTCTTAATTAGATAGTAAATATAGAAGCAAGAATAAAGCCTTCTTCACTCTTGTTAATTTTTTTCTTGCTTCTAGTTTAGATTTAAGAATTTCTAATTTCTTTGTCTTTTAGCAATATCCATTCCAGTTTTTTTTTAACATATATACTACTTTATTGGTATTTTGTGATTTTTTTTTTGACATATATTTTTCAAGTTTATACATCTTCTTTCAGTTCATTTCTTTGACAATTTAATATAAAAAATTACAATGTTAATACACTAATGATGTAACTCAACAAAGAAATATAATACTAATATTCTAAAACATCATTCTAAGATGTCTAATAACCTCTAAGACCATGAATGCACTTAATAATAAGTAAGAGCAAAACTACATCAACAATTGTATGAAAAAGTAGGATTAAAAGATACTAAATACTAATATCAACAACAACCATAAGATCTATTGCTCACAACAAGAAAGACTTCAAAGAGCTTCAAAATTCACAAGTAAAGGTGAGTGGATTTACAACCTATTGAAAAAAGAGAACATTGAATTCATAACATATAGCATCAACAAGGTTGTATACAAAGAAATTATAGAATAAGATAACTCTCACTTCTAACATCTATTACTTATAAGTGGTGGTTGTTGCTTTTAACAACAATTTCCATCATTTGACTTTTACATCCATCCAAGAATATATAAAGTATATTCTTTAATATCTTATCAACTATAAAGATATATCTTTAATATATTCTTTATATTTCTAAGATCTTTTATCAACTCATCTATCTTAAGAATATTCTATAATATATACTTTATATTCTCATCAAGTTTTTGAATATTTTTTAATTGATTTTTTATCTTCTTAATCTTATTCTTAATCCTTGAGCTTATCTTTCTTTCATAAGATATCTTTTCACATACCAAGAATCAATCATTTGATTACTAACAACTTACCTAAGATAATATCTTCAACAAGATAATTTATTTCATTTTAATATTACTTTCTTATTTTAATATTATGTATGATTTAAAAAAATAAGTGAACGAAAATATCAAGCTAATATGGCTTGAGATTTTTTAACTTATCCCATCCCTTTGATGGATTCAAAGTAATTGAACCTCGCCTCTAGATGCATGCCTTTCTTGCCAAATTATTCATTCAAGATTTGATATTAAGATTTGCTCCATAGAAGATCATCTTGATATATAGAACTAGAGGACTTCAGCCAAAATAGATAAGAGTTGGGTTCTTACATATTTATTTAATTATCTTTGATATATTAATACAAAAATCAGGCTCTAAACTATAGTAGGCAATGAGGAGGTACAAAAACAACTGAATATTGTTTATATGGATATCTGCCAACAAAAAAAGTCTAGAGGAAACTAGAGCCAATCTAGCATAAGTTATATAATATTCATTATTGTTCTTTAATCATAGACATATCTACAATTATTTAAATAATATGAATAAATAAAAATAAATAAAAGTATGATAATTTCATAATATCTTCTAAAAAAAACTTCTTAAAAGCTTTATAGATGTGATTTCATCTTCATACATATTTATATGTGATTGATAGATTAGAAACTTGGCCAATAAATTAGCCACACATCACATGTATTAGTAGCTTGTGATACAAGCTAATAATATGACAAACATATAAAAAATATGCTTTGCAAGTTTAGATATGTGTCTCACAAATTGAACATGTATTAGAGGACTTATAAAATATTACCATGTAGCTCTTAAATAAATAATATATATATAGAAAGAAGAGTGAAGCCTTCTTTATTCTTATCAACTCTTTTCTTGTTTCTAGTCTAGTTTCAAGTATCTTTAGTTTTCTAGTCTTTGCCAATAGCTATTCCAATTTCTTATTAAATATATTTATTATCTTATTTTTAGTTTGTCATTTCTCTTGATTCATTCCTCATTTGTTTATGTATTTTTTTTGAATCTTTATCTTTGACATCTTAGAGAGAATTTCTTATGAGTATCACCCAAGGGACTCTCAATAGCTTGGACCTCTCACCTTCTTCTTATTCATACTTCAAAGCAATAGATATTCTTAGGACTACTATCTTCTGGCAAATTTAGTATGTCAGATATTAAAGGACATTTGCCAATGACCATTTTTTTCCAATTCAAGTTTTTCTTCAAGCATGGTGTGATACTATTGTAGCAAGCATGGCTAGATGTAACCAAATTATGAACACCTTCAAATCATGCATCAAGCAACTCCAATAAGAACAATTGACCAAGTTCTATATTGTTTGGTATTTAAATAATGTTTTTTTTTTTTTTTTTTTTTTTAGTAGTTTAACTGATCTAGTATGGAACTTAATTCAACCTTGTAACATTTCACCTGTCTTGATTTCATGGGATCTAGGTAGATGATATAATTTAATTTTGCTCTAGTGTGGATAGAATCCACCTCTTATTATTTCAATTGGATGACAACTATATCTTGTCTTTCATTGATAAATGCCTTCTTTCAAAAACAAAAAAAAAAAAAAAAAACAAACAAACAAACAAACAAACAAACAAACAAACAAACAAAACAAAAACAAAAACAAAACAACAAAAAAAAAAAAACAAAACAAAACAAAATAAAACAAAACAAAAAACAAATTAGTAAATGAAAATCAAAGAAAAAGTTTAAAAAATCATAGCATCATTTATTAATGTTTAATTTTTAAAAATCAAATGTTAAAAACAAACCACTAATTAAAACTATAAAATTTATATGGTTACATTTTTATAACCATATGATTTATAATACATTTATTTAGTTTTTTTAATGAAGCATATATATATATATATATATATATACTGAATTGGGCAATATTATATCTCAATAACTTGCTAAGAAAATCAAGGACTGTCATTGTTACTAGGATTAATAATAGGTTACAAATATAAAAGTATTGACCTCTTAAATGATAAATAATCTCTTTTAGACAATATTTTTTACATGAATGAAAATAAGTGTACTGTTGCAAAAAAAAAAAAAAAAAAAAAAAAAAAAACTAGTGTATACACGTATGTACACGTGGGAGGCACATCACACATAATAATCTCAAAGCAGTTTTGTTAATTTTGCATCCTTTACCCTCAATTATATCACATCCTATGTTGCATAAAATCAAGGTTGTCCAACCATTGCAAAGTCAACTCATTTAAATGAGTCCTAAAAAAAAAAATGAAATGAATGAACTCCACAACCGCTGGACATGGACAAATCACTTCAGTCCTTGATAAATAGAAAAATCTGTGGCATAATGTTATTCAATGTTCTTCAACTCTTTAATGAGCCAAAATTAGATAACACCAGCCAAGCCTTCTTAACAGAGGACTTTGAACAATCGGCGTAGAGTGGGTTTTGCAAACACCCAGTCATAATAATAATAACAATAATAATAATAATCATCGCAAAAATAGGCACTGAGTACATGTGTAAGTGCATTTGTGTGGAATATATATATATATATATATAATGAATATTCTAAGACATACTTGATTTCAGGAAACAAGAATGCTGTGAAGACAAATAAAGGCTTACAAGTCAGTCGGTAAATAATACGCTTCGCTATTCAACCATGGCTGTTTTTATTTATTTTAAACTTTCATTGCTTTTTTAATGCACGCCTTGAGTTCCACGTCAAAGACTGCAATTTTGTTCGGAAAGAGCAAGAGGGTTCAGTCCAATTTCCCAAATCGCAGTCCAAAATCCAGAGTACTCTCATAGTTTCGATTTTCCCATTAGGATATCCAAAAGTTTAAAAAAATAGTGGACCTGGCAGAGTGCAACTTGTGCAGGGCTCATCTCGGGGGATAAATTTTCATTGCCACAATGCTGGATTTCTGGGGATAGCTGATATTCTTCTAAGTCCCGTTTCCATATGTGTTTTTGGGTAAGTCTTTTTAGGGTAAAGTAATTGGAGTCGTTCTCATAATTAACTAACCCTAGTGTTGCACCCGATGTGAACCACTTTATACATAGATGCGGTATCCTAGTTCATGTTCATTGTATGTCCTGCTTGCATGTCAAGGTAAGAATTGAAATATATCAATAAAATTTGTTTTAGTGCGCAATAGTGATCTGCCAATGAACACTAAATCCATCCGTTGCCTGTTTCCAATTTTTGAGTGATGATTTATTCTTTTCCTTGTTTGAGATTTTGAAGAGAGTAGCAAGTGAGGAACTCCCTCGCGGATTGACAGTTGCTCATCTACCATTGACGACTGCTGTTTGTACTTGGTGAATTCGGACAAATCTTATGAGTAATACAAATGTTTTACTTCTTTATTCATTGAATATTTTTGATCGGTCTTCCGATCTTATCTTCAACGACAGCGCAGGTAACTTGCATCATACCACATGCATCACTTGGTTCAAAACAGTTGATCTCAATTGCAGTTTCTGTGGCGTGCATCAATCAGGTTCTGTACATGACCGTCTATTCTGGGAAGGCTTAACCTTACGATGGCAGCACCTACCACGGTTGATATATTTACTGCATTCGAAGAATGGCCTTTTAGTTGAAACATGTTGATTCCAGCATGTTATAACGAGACCTTACTATTGGTTGAACAAGCACAACCGACTCAAAACCCTCTTAACACTGGAGACAAATTGATGACTTGATTCGAATCATGACTAACTGCCAGGAATTCTGCATCACATCCTGGCAGGTGAGCCTCGTGAATTAGACAGATGAACATAAATAAAGCCAGTGGCAGTCTGATTCAATGCAGTTTGGGATTTCACCTCACTCGCAGATCATCAAGTGCAACAGAAATACATAGAACTCGTCAGAAGTTGGAGAAGAGTAGAATCAATGACACATCTTAGATACTCGTTTGTATACTACGAACATCACAGTTCAACCTCCACAGGTGAACGAAAGTATGGCTGTTTCATCAAATTGTAGAGCACCATCAATCTAGAAGAATTGCATGCATCGTATCCATTTCTATCCACCACTCCATGCCATAGGATTAAGTATTGATGGTAATTGGGTCTGGTTTAATCCACTGTTTTCTCCAGAAATCCAGATCCTTGAGATATCACAAATTCTGGTTGCAGCTCTATGCAGGTGGCATTGTGCAGGTGCAGTTCCTTCGATCCACACATCACAAATGTGAGAACCAAGACCAACTTGTTTCTGACAGTTTGGTGATGTGATTTACGCACTTGGTTGAAGAGGGTGGAGAGCATTAGCTGCCTGTGCTACAATGTGACCGCGTACGTGGCACTGAAGAATGCCAGGCGTAGCTTCGATTGCTGTTCTTCTTCGAGGGCGCTTCAAACAAGATCTCCAACGAGGTGGCGTTTTAAGACAGGGATAACCACGTCTGGAGAGCTGAGTTGGGGCAAGTGACCTTCTGTATGCAGCACCTCAACAATGCTGGCGCCGCTGATTCTTTGGTGAATGTAATCCGACACTATCACTGGTACTGCGAGGTCCCTCGAGCTTTGCAAGATGTGGCAAGGCACAGTCACCTGCATGTAGCAAAAGTTTGAGACATGACCAGTCATGTAGGTGTGCACGTGTGTTTACTTGCCCCAAAATTAGCACGTAATTCTGCATTGCATACGGCATTTAGATACTTGGATGGGGAGATTGAGATGGGGAGACTGCAAGTATGACGCGTACCTGTGGTAGTATACTCCGCAGATCGCTTTGGAAGATGGTTTTTGCCACGCTGAACGCAATGTCAGGACGAATGTTAAAAAGAGTTCGACCAAACTCCTGTACTGCCATGGATTCTATGTCTGCACCTACTGCTAATGGAGCAAATCCTGAGACCCAAGCCTTGAAGTTTGATTGCATGGCTTGGAAGAGCTGGTTGAGATCGTCCTGCTCAAACCCCCCGAAATAATCTGCATCATTGAGATACCTGCACGGTTGCTCCATTCAGTTATGCTGAACTCACACACACTGCAACTTTTTGACATTGATCAGAAACACTTCAACCTCAAAGCAGTTAGATATTATAATTAACGTCATCAACATGCAACCCTCTCATCGAGAAGCTGAGCAAATGTTTACGAGATTAGGGCTGCTGAGAGTCCGAACCTGGGAGAGGCAGAAATCGTAATGATCTTTGTAAAAAAATTTGGCCGAGCTAGCGAGGCGAGACACCCAATCATACCAGAGACTGAGTGTCCAACAAAAATGCACGAAGTGATCTCAAGCTCATCCAGGATAGCGAGAAGGTCGTCAGCATAGCCGTATAGAGAAGAGTATCTCTGAAAGCAGTAATATTCAGGATCGGTTGTGCCGGCTCCCATGTTGTCAAACAAGATAAGTCGGTACTCATCGATGAGGTGAGGGAGGACATGCTTCCATACTGATTGGTCAGTACCAAATCCATGTGCAAGAACCACCAGCTCTTCGCCGTGGCCGACCACATGAACATTATGAGCCTCCAACAGAGTCGGTCCCGGACACATGCTCTACAGCACGTCTGTACCCTTGAGCCTCTCAAAATCTGGTGATTATCTTCACAAGGTGCGCAATGTTACTGGAATTCACAGATTTCAAGTGACCTCTGCACATTAATATCAACAAACAGTTAATTAGATACAAGGCATCCAACTGAGTACTTCACACTATGAAACATTGAAGCTTCGCCAATCTGTAACTGCGGCATCCTAGTTGTTCCCTAAAGATCGTTTTGAGCAGCTTTGACCAAGGCTAGCCTCAGATATGTACATCAAGCATCTTCTCATTGAGGAGGTAAAGCACATGTTGCTTGTACAACTTCATGGCATATTCGAATCTCCCACGAGAGTCACACCCAATAGTCTGGAGAGAAAACTATACAACCAAAAACCCTTATCACCCCATCGGTAATCACGATCCGACTCCGTGATTACTTAAATGCTGATATGATATTCAATTTCGGCAATTACTCATACAACTTGCGGGCAACTATCTTACACATAACCAAATTAGAAGCAGAAAAGCACGTTAATAGTGTCTCATTCAAGTAGACATGTTCCGAACTTCTAAACTTGATTGAGTTACGAGTGGGCCAGGTTATGCTTCCCATGAGATTTCGAAGCACTGATTAGGCCAGGACGCTCACCGAGAGGTATGCTTGACCAACACAATTAAGCACGGACGAACATTTGAGCCCCCTAGAGAATAGTCGCTCTCGCCACCATGAAAGCAAGAGTAGCTACCGACTTGCAGCTATGGGAAGAGCACCGCACGTTCTGAAGGCACCAAAAAAGGGTCCACGTCACATTCTACATTGCGAGGAGTCTTCGCAGGAAGACTGAAGATGATCGTCAAAGAACACTCGTCATGTCGTTCGATATGCAACACATGGGGCTCCTACAGACACAAACCCCTCAAAAATAAGCTCTTCAAGGCCACCCCTGCCCCATCTCATCAACAACCAAGTAAAAATATAATCGCTGGCGCAAACCACTCTCTATACCAATCACACACCACTCCTTCGACAGCACAATTGCACGATCCCACTTTCAAAGTCGCACCCCAAAAACAGCCAGGCAGCGTCGGCGCATGTAATACGTCGAGAAACGTCCAGATTGGAGCCCAATAATTTAAGCGCCGTGAAATCCTAGGCTTATTGCATGGCAATTTAATAAGATAGGAATTGTGATTGCCACTGGCGTATGGCAAGCAGCAGCTTCAGCGGTTTACTGTGCGCACCAGAATGCGAACGTCTTGGAATTGGCTACCCACAGCTACCAACAACCTACACATTCTCAATAATGGATGCTGACCGTAGCCCAGTAGATCAGCTATTCAGCCAAGGTTATGGTAGACTCTTGTCTAGAGGCAGTGTACCTTCGTCATTAGGTACATGGAGCATGTACTCCAACTCCCGAGTGGATTCACGAGTTGGTGCAAGGACTGTACCCACTTCGCAGGGTTCTGTAGCGGGAATGCCACTGACATAATGTGTGTTGCCTGAGTGGACATTGACAGAAGGACAGATAGGGGCAGACTATGTGAGTAGGTTGCAACAGTGCTGGTGGGCTATGGCTATTGGTGTCCAGATACATCCTCACTTGCATATCGTCCTCGGTAGCGTTTTCAATTACTTCCAATCAGAAATGTTTCCTAGAATTAATGTCAGATGTTTGCAATGTGAAATCCAAGGAACGTGAGATCTCATTATTCCGTGAGGAAGCCCCTCGGTGTTCGAGCGTCACGAGGCAGCCCTCGCTCGAGGCTCATTCTCTTTCTCACGGTCCCCCTCACAAGTACCCTCCGTTTGTTCCGTAGGAAACCAATTCTACGCATTCTCTTTGTTCCGTCGATATAACTTGACAGTGCAAACGCGGAAATTGAAGGTTGTGTGTGCGCTTTGGTGTTTAACTTGGGTAAACGTACAGGTTAAGGTCTCTCGCACACCAGAAATAATTGAAGCATGTCTTTCTTGAAAAAAACAGAATGAAAAAACTGATTGGCAAAAAAAAGCACAAATTAACTGAAACTGTTCATTCTTGATGCATCTGCTTGCTATAAATGTGCAAAAATGGTTCCGAGTGTAACTTCATCCTATAAATCTTACTAACACATTCACCTTGATATACCAGGTGATGGCGATTCGGATCACGAGTGGAAGTTGTTCAAAAATCGTGGCCAAAATTTTAAACCTCCTCGTCACAGCATTAGGAAGTAGCAACTTTGGAGACTTTCAGTTGTATTCTTTCAGTTCAAGGAGGGAACCACTCGTCGTGGAGCCGCGTCTAAATCACATATCCGCTTGTGCAATTTTCAATCCTCCATTTTCACAACCGCGTTGTACAACAGACCTGTACAAGTTTTACACGACGTGAAGTGTGAAACTGCTTCTGTGCTAATCGAGCGTGTTCCAAACAGGGATGAGGTGCCGGAGCCTCTGGTTTCCAGCATCCCCAACTGTATTTGCCTGAAAGACTGGAGTTGGGGTTTTGCCTGACAAATGGATGTTTCCAGCAAATCACGTGGATAAAAAGCACTTTGCATGAACATGTCAGCTGTCCCCGATTTGGTACTTCAGATGATGCAATGCCCAGGCTTAAACAACAAAAAGCAAATTCATCTGGAAGGAGCTACAACTCCCATCTTCAGTCTTAACCAACAGCTCTAATTCTCAGTCAATCAGATCGACAGATCAAGGAACTGGGTTTTCTGAGGAATTCATGGATCTGAGGCAACATTAGCCAAAATATTCGTAAATCGAGTTTCACAACACAACGTCTAAATGCAGCCATGGATTATTGGGTTCGAGAGAAGGATGTCCGCATGCACGGTTTCAAAGGTTGGACAGCGAGAAACAACGATAGCACAGTGTCGCCCGTCGGCTTCTGCGAACCCAGCTCTCTCCCTGTTAAAGCGTGGCTTTGAAACTTGTAGCATGCCTCCCATGGGCTATCTACATCGCATGGTGCTCTCTTAGTGTCACAGCACAACGCGGAGTACGAGAGCGTTCTATTTGAGGTGTGTGTATTTGAAGCTCAAAAGGTGACGATGCTATCTGAGCTCCATTTGCACCATAAAGTTATAAATAGGAAATACTAGACGATGAATTAACGTGTCCTGGAATCCCGGCGCACCCGCTGCGCTGCGCAGTGGCGCGCTCAATGAGCTGGGTTCCTCGGTTCTTCTCAATTCGAGATTGAATTCCAAGCCATCTACCTCTTTTCGCCCGTGTCTGTTCGTTTCTCTCGATCTCAATCCCTATCCCGTCTCGCGCTCTCTCTGAATGAACTGGTGGATCGCTGCACACCACTCCCTTTTAGTTCCAGTCCGGTGGATTACTGCACAACATTCAGGTACGCGTGAATCAGCTTTCTCATCATTATATGAAGCATGGGGTTCACCAGGGAATCCTCGATGTCGGTTGTCATGCCAGATCTAGATGTCCGTGTTGTAGACATGCATTGTAGTCCACAGAAAGTACTATACACTTCGTTTGGGTTGAACCCATCGACCTGAATCCACATTGCCACTCGCGGAGTACTACATTGATCAACACTGTTAGTCAGAGCATGACCAGGATCTGCATTGTGTCGAGATCATTATCTGGTGGTTGAATTCGGTAGGTCCAACGGATTAGACTCATCACAACTTGTTGGCGAGCACAGTCGCAATGGCATGATTTACTAGAATTTTATTTTGTTTCTAATATACTCTCAGTCTTGACAGAGTAAGGAGAAGACTGCGAGTGCACATTGTCGGACAGCACTGACCTCCGCAAAGTTTTAAACGCTACCATCATGGCCGCTCTGGATAGGAGCGCGTCGGGCTCCTTGTATCAGAGGTCTTCCTCCATGTCGAAGACCGAAACGAGCGACACTACTCCTCTCGGGGAGGCAATTCTAGTGAAACAAGCGTCGCAATCTCGTGATCGCATGCGCGCGTCACCAGAGCGCACGTCCTCGCCCCGAAGTGAAGGGGCCAGTGCTGGAGTCTGGTACCGCAACATTGTTATCGGGCTTGTGGGTACCCTCCTCGTAGTTGCTGTAGTAACCTGGCCCAGTTTCGGCTCTCCAGCGATCCCTGGCGAGCCTGTACCGGCTCCGGCTACGGAAGAGGACAAATGGGAGTCTGCCTCAAGAGCTCTTCCCTTCCACCTGTACATCAGGAATGCTGTTGGAAGGTCGAAGTTTCTTGTGACGGATCTAGTTCCCGATGTTACGTATCACAGAGGGCCTATCCTTACTGGTGACAATAGAAAGGTACTGAAAGTGCATGTGATTTTTTACGGTGCTTTCACTAGAGCCCAGAAGTCTATTGTCACATCCTTCTTGCAATCATTCACTGCCCCCAAGTCCTCCCGCAGCTTCCCCACTGTTGCTAGCTGGTGGGCAATCGTCACTAAATACAAGAATTCAAGAGGTGCCTCAGTTGCACCCACGGTGACGCTCGGTACCCAGGTTCACGACTGGAAGTACTCCTTGACTAAAAGTTTGAAGCAAGGTGACATGGAGAAGATTGTCACATCTTCTCTGAAGAAGGGATTGGCTTTGGATCCCGCTGGTGTCTACCTCGTGCTCACCTCCGACGACGTGAACGTCCAAGGATTCTGCAGCTCTCAGTGTGGAACCCACAGCTCCATTCGTCCCTCACCTCTCACCAGAAAGACGAGACTCCCTTACGTCTGGGTTGGTAACTCTGCAAAGATGTGCGGAGGTTACTGCGCATGGCCATTCTTCAAGGCTGCCTATGGAGCTGGGCCTCAGACTTCTGCACTGAAATCTCCTAATGGTGATGCCGGAATAGACGGTATGCTCATCAACGTAGCTGCGATGCTTGCCGGCACTGCAACCAACCCCTACGGTAATGGCTACTTCCAGGGCGACGCTAGGGACCCGCTAGAAATTGCTGGGGTATGCGCAGGAATCTATGGGAAGAACTCTTACCCTGGATATCCGGGTGAACTTCTCAAGGATTCTAGAGGCGCCAGCTTCAATATGTATGGCGCTAACCGTCGCAAGTTCTTTCTGCCGTGGGTCTGGAACCTGTCTAAGAAAGAATGTGCCGGTCAGGCGTAATCTTTCACTCATTATCAGTGATCGCTGTTCAGATATCCAGTGCACTAAGGCGCACCACGCAGCATGAAAAGTTCCTGCTGATGAACAGCCCAATGTGTAGATTTACGAGTTACATGATTTTTCCCCATTTCTAGCCGCTTGGAATTAGGATTAGCACGATTACTTCTAATTGGCGGCGTGAGCCGGCCGCACCAGATAGAAGAGTCATGCATCGCCGTCGCGGATGTAAAAGATAGAGCCGGCGTCTGATTGTTCAATGCGAAACCAACATACTTGTTTCGCTCCGTCGTGTTGAATGCGAAGCATACTCAACTGCAGACAGTAAAATTGTTTTCCAATATGTGAGATATGCAAGTGGGCATCTACAGAATCCTTTCAGTCTCTGAGCGCTAAGGTCCCCATCTCCCCCAACTCATCTGCAGGACATGTCACAATATAAAACACCGACCACACTCTGCGTTTTTACGTTTGTGGACAAACCTTCAACGTATTGGGGTGTCTCAGTGATGGATCATTGCCACAACCGGGACAAACTGACAAGTAATCTACCCCCCCCCCCACGTGTGACGGCCACAGTACAATTGTTTCCTGAAGTATTCATCTCTTGACAGTTGGTGGACGAATCTTGTATAGCAGAGAAACGGGTTATCAGATTGAGTACATCCGAAGATGTAGCACCTTTTCTATTGTACGAAGACTTTGCATTCAAGCTGTTGGTCGATCGTACACACTCATCAATGAGGGGGTGAGGTCTGTGCAGCACACTGAACGTCCTGCTCCATCCTATAACGAGCTCCAATTAAATAACCCGAATTTGCCGTGATGTAGCGCAGTACCGCCTTGTTCAGATCTTGTGCACTAGCTTGTAAGGGTATGCACTTTCTTTGCATCTGCAAAAGGTCCTGCCAGCCACACAGTTCTGTATTCTGAACCACCTTTTGTAATGTCTTGTATGTAGCTATTGAAACGTTGCACCGTCGCGAGTAACCGACCTAACGCAGCCTGCGTATCCCCAGAAACTTGTCGTATCGCCGTAGATCTGGATTAAAATATCATGGCAGTTTCGATCCCTTCGTTCGCAGACTTGTCCTCGTATGTAATTTGAACGTGATTGAAGGTTATCCGATTTCGAATCCTGTGGTGGTTTACACTAACCCACTTGTGCAATATGCACAGAACTTCGTGCATCGTTGTTGCAATTTTATGACCTCCGGAGTTGCAGATTTTCAACCCTGTCCAATGTATTCTTCAAAGCATAACTTTTTCTTGAAAAAATTCTGAGTTCTCTACCTAGCGGCGATGTCCATCGTAGAGGCACAAACCAGTATAACAATGCAGGGAACCAAAGCAGCAGGGAAAGATCATGGATCTACCTTGTTGCGAGAATGCGATACCGAACCAGCATTGCATCCCATGCCGTCACTCCGACACTCACAAAGATTAGAGGATATTCCAAACTAATCATTAACATTGTCACTCTCGACAGACCTGAAAATCGTTTCCCCCCTTCCTCTTCAACAGGTTTTATATAACTAACCTATTCCAGGATGCACCTTTGAAGGCCCACACATTATGTAGAACGAGCGGCATGTATACAAACAAAAACAATACCACTGATTTTTTCTTCTTTGCAACGCGACATTACTCCTACAAAACAGTTGGATCTTGTTTAGATGACCTATTCTTCCACCGGCCCACAATCATTGCCACAAAAGCAAACAGCAGGGGATTTACTCAATCAACCCCTTGCTGCGGTAGGAGCAGCAGGGTTTGTCTCTTTAAGGTAGAGAGAGGGAAATGAAGAGCAAGAGTCACAGCCAGTGACACATATCTGATTGCAAATCTATACTCAGACAAGGACTATTTCGCCATCACACGGCTCCAGTGGTACCCAAAACCAAAAAAAAAAAAAAAAAAAAAAAACACCATTAGAGGTACTTCTAATGTTTTTAAAAGAGTTTTCAAGTCGTTGGGTAGGCCAAGAGACACCAACGTGCTCAATGCAACACCATTCAATAGTAATTCTCAGTCCTGCCTTCTTCTCAGCCCACATAAAAACCCACTCTTTATTTGATTTTATTTTATTTCCCTAGCTTCAACTGACGAAACTCTGCAGTAAATCTGCACATTTCAGAAGGAGATTTTATCTTCGTGGAATCACCGAACATGGGGTCGTGCTAGCCTCTAATTTGCATGGAGCTGGTGGTTGCTTTTTTCGACTTGATTGAGGCTTAAGCATCAATTTGTTGCTAAGTAAGCGAAGTTTGATTTGCCTAAGTGACCTGTATGAAGATAATTAGGCTGGTGCGATCAAGTGTCTCCTCTTTCATCTGGAAAGTCTTTGCTCAATTATTAGTGAGCCACTGCTTGCAAAATAAATAAATGAACAAAATAAATTTAAGTAAGAAACAAAAACAAACAATATAAATTGTACCGAGATGAACTTTAAATCGAAATATTTTGTTTCAGCAAGTATTTTATTTTTTATTTTTATTTTTATTGTTGTTATTATAACAAATATTTTGTCATTGATATCGAAACTTATCTTTTAGAAGGCATCTGTTTAATCCTTAAGTCGTCTCTTGCGTTTTTTATAATTGGGCTGAATGTGAATGTAGATGATTAACAGTTGTAACAACAAGAAGAACGCAAATCGAAAAGAAAAAGGCAAATGAAACTGGTAAGAGATTCTTAAATTCTAAAACGAACCATGAACATGTATGGGTTCTTAAAGTGAGGTTTGAGGCATTCGCTTTCCACGTACTCCTTTCCAGTGTGGAGAAAATAAAAGGAAGAAGTGTGCTTAATAAGAAATGTGATACTCTGGGGTCATGGAATATCCCTTTTTCTGCATTTCTCTGCTAACAATCATTGAAGATACAAATTCCCCCAATCTGTGAAGTCATTTGAAAATCCAGCACACAAAGCATGTAAAATCATGATTCTCAACTGTGTTGAAATTTGACACCCAGAAGCATTGGCTGTGCAGGTGACAAAGTCATGCTGTACCAAACTCTGTGCCGAAGGAAGAGTGGGAAAATATATATCTTCATATATAACTATAAATAAATGTATATCATAAAAACGAAGTTTTATTCTTTACCCTAAAGTATGTCAACGGATCAGAACGACTACAAAACAGCTACTGGGAAAATTGACTCAGATTTACTGTATGCCAATCCAAGGGCAAGTTGGTTTCAGTTTTCGTTTCAAACAAGTTTCGGGGGTTTAATATGATATCCACATCAGCAATACGTTCGTTTTATTTGTAGAAAAGGTACTACACCACAAACCTAAGCAGGTCCTCTGCAGAACAAACGGTAACGAATTCATCACACAGGAAAACTCGCACCAACTGCGCTGCACTACATGCATGCGACTTTTTTGAAGTGCACAACAACACGATCATGGCCACCAACGATGTTTCTGTAGCCAAGCCGAGAATAGTCACGAAAGGATTCAACCCGAGTCGACGAAGTGGTCACGTTCCATTCTGGTTGGGAGTGGATGTGCGACAGTCGAGAGTTTTCGTATGGATGACGGAGCGTGTGCCGAATGATCCGAGGGGATGCAAACGAGCAACGCAAGCGCTTCGTCGATGAGATTGGCAATCGTGAGAGGGACCAGAAGCCCAGTGCGTCAAAATTACGCCAGGCAGCCCATACGATGGAGACCAGGTGCCAGCCAGCACTGTGCGAACAGACAGGAGAGGATGGCTAGCGCGCAGGCTGCGGGTAAGGGGGCGATGGCGGAGAGCGAGAGAGAGAGAGAGAGAGAGACCCACTTCCCCTTCCTCTCCCATGTGGCATCGGTAGGGACGGGGGAGAGCATCCAGTGCATCATCTCTGCTTGCCGCATAAGTCCGCCCCACTTGTCTAAAGCCAGCGCGCGCTTGTTGACTGTAGCCCCCAGCTACTCATGAGAGTCGCCGCACCCCCCATCTCCACAGTTTGCTATTTTCCAGGCCGTGCCTTTCCCTGCTGTCCCTGTCCCTAACACACACCGGTGTGGTAACCCACCCCCACTCGCCTTGCATTATCCACACGAGCTTAAGCTTAATCGCTGATTAGCTGGTGGACCACGACGAAGGTTGACCCGCAAATAAAACGTGTTCCTTCGCACGAGCCTGTTTTTGGTGGGTGGTAAAATTATGCTCGATCCTGGCTCTCAAACCCATCAAGCCTATCATCCCTTTCAGCGATTCGCAGCAACTCCCTGAGCTTGTCAACTGGGTCCCTGGTTCGAGGTTGGGGGGGGGAGAGAGGATTTGTTCTCGAGTCCTGGCGCCGAGGTTAGCTTTTGAATTAGTGAGGTGAATTTACTTTCAAATCAAGGTTGGGTTATCATGAGATGACGGTCGAAACCTCCGACTAGATTTATGCAGTCTGTCAGAAAAGTGCAGTGCGCACAGTCGTCCGCACAAGATAATTATCCCTTCACGCGGCCTGTGTTGTGGGGCTTATTGAGAGACTCAAGTTAACGTTGTGTGCTCTGGTGCCGCAGCATTCCAGTAAAGGTTGTGGTGATTCTTCCGGCTTGTGGCAAATCATTCATCGATGGTCCAAATTCTCTCCATTTTCGAGCTCATGCCTTATTGCCCTTTGGTCGCCTATGGTGGACCCTTCCCATCTTTCACAGTTAACGCTGACGTCTTGAAGCTCCAAAGCAAGTCCTGGTAAAGGGAATCTAGGCGCCCAGATTATGCGCTCTCCTTAACAAGCGATCTTGTGCTCTCTGAGCCTCACCTCCCTCGCTCCCTTGTCTTGCTCTGCGATCTCTCGTCAAGCTTTTTTTTCCCCCCTTTCTTTCTTTTTCTCCCGTCCTCTGTTGTGCTTGCGCCAGCCGATCGCCTACACCTAGCAGCCGCGGTTGGAGTGCTGTGTTTTTAGCTTTTTGGAGTCCTCAGATCTGGCAGACAGTTTGATGTAGGGACGTTGGTGTAGGTTTATTCAGCTGATCGATTGAGAGTGCAAAAGGCGAAGCTGTGTGCGTGTGCGTGTGCGTGTTTGCTCGTGAGTGTTTGGGAGTATTGCTAAAGGGTAGCAATGGCGATCGGGAAGGTACTGGGGTGTGCCGGGTTTCAGCACAGTGCAGTGCCAACGCTCCGTGAACCAGTGCGGCTGAGGGCGCAATGCAGACGCCGGGGAAAGACCGTGTCTATGTCGGTTCAGAAGACGTCGAAAACGGTACAGCAGGCGGAGAAGATGTTGCAGGAGTTCCGTCAGTCTTCCTCTACTCCCCTGCCTCTTTTGCACCAGGTAGCGGACGCTCTCGTGCAAGAAATGTATGCTGGATTGGCGTCGGAAGGTGGTAGTGATCAGCTGAAGATGCTTCCGACCTATGTCGAAAACTTGCCTTCTGGGTGCGCTGCTTCTCAATACCCTCTCCTCGTCGATCCTTCTTTCGTTGATGCGAAGTAGATTCTTCTCCCAGACCTCAGCACCCTTTGTTTGTCGAAAGTGCGGCATGCAATGCTCCCTCAGTCTGTCACGGTGTCCCGAGCAACTTCTAAAAAAACACATATTCACTTGTTTTGCGACGTCACCGCGTAGAGTGTAGCAGTCAGATATTTCAATGACCTGGTCGTGGGCGTTCTCTCTTTCCTGTTGTTAAACTCTCCCTATCATAACATACGGCGCAGTTTGATTGAGCTTGAAACACTGCTTGAGCACGATCAACGAACATTGTACTAAGAGAACATTCGCGATCGCTGGGGACACGAGGCCGCGTCTTGAGAGAGATGCCTATTGTGAATTTTGGCATTCTTACGAATCCCTTCGAGTTTTCAATTGCAGGAGCGAGAAGGGGCTGTTCTATGCCGTGGATTTGGGCGGCACAAACTTCCGTGTTCTGCGAGTGGAATTGGGAGGCAAAACAGGCCAAATTTTGAGCCAAGAGTTCAAGGAAGTGGTAATCCCTCCAGAGCTTATGGTGGGCACTGGTAAGGTAAGACTTCATACACTCAACACCCATTTCTAATAACTCTTCGTATGAAGAGCGGGACGAGTGGCGAATGATTCTCTGGGCATGATGAGAAGGGCCATGATTTGATTCTTATGGCGGGATGCCGTGCAACAGGATCTTTTCGACTTCATTGCTGGTACACTCGCATCATTTGTCGACACTGAAGACGAGTCAATTAAAGCTCACTTTGTTCAATCGGGAAAAACCAGGGAGTCCGGTTTCGCTTTCTCCTTCCCCGTTCGACAGACCTCAGTCAAATCTGGCATTGTCATCCACTGGACGAAGGGCTTCAAAGTTGATGATGCGGTGCGCCACTTGTGCAGGCCTTTTCACTCACAAATTCACTACTCATACACACACATTTATCCCATGAGAGGATGCATTTGCCAATTTAAATAGCGTTTTCGATACGAGTAAGCTTAGATTTGCATCTTCTTTCTTCCCTTGCGGAGGGGCACTTTTCTGAATGTTTCAGGGACTTGAGGATTATCCTTTACGAACCCCTGTTGTATGCGCTGATGGTATTTGCAACCCAAATTTAGTTCAAACTTCCTTAATGGTTCATCTTTCTGGCAGGTGGGCAAAGACATCGTGAAGCAATTTCAGGATGCAATCAGCAGAAGTAACCATCAGATTATGATCTCAGCCCTGGTATATCTCACTTTTCTTGAACTGCACACTCTGTTTGGATTTAAGTTCTTTACGTAATAGCGTCCATCTTCTGTATAACCTGTGTTTGCAATGATAGACTGAAGGATTTCTTAATTTTGAATCTTTTACAGGTAAACGACACCGTTGGCACGTTGGCCGGAGGCAGATTCAACTTCGACGAGGAGACCATGATTGGTTGCATTATTGGAACAGGGACAAACGCATGCTATGTCGAACGTGCCGATGCTGTACATAAGTGGGACGAGCCACTGCCCAAATCAGGAGAAATGGTAATCGATTTCGCCGCATTTCTCGGTTTGTAGGCACCTGAGCAGGAAATCATGCTAACAAACGTCTTCAAATGGGTGATTTGCTGACGATCATTGAGTATATGAGCAGTTTTTTCCTTACATTTTGTTATTACGTGTGGCAGGTTATCAATATGGAATGGGGAAATTTCCGTTCACCCTACCTGCCACGAACATTTGCTGATGAGACTGTTGACAAAGACAGCGTCAATCCAGGGGACCAGGTGCGAAGTCTACCGAGAGAACTGAGTGCATGAGGTGTTGAATTAGGTAATTTTCAAGAGCAGACCTATTCACCCTCTTTGGTGGTTTTGTGCAGTGGTTCGAGAAAATGATCTCTGGAATGTACCTCGGCGAGATCGTGCGCCTTGTTCTGGCTAGGATGGCCAAAGAAGCGGAACTGTTTGGTGGCAATGTCCCCGTGAAGCTCTTGGAGCGGCTCACCCTAGGGTAATTCCACGGTACTTGCAGCCATTTCTCAATGAATTAATCCTCAGTAAGCCTAATCGTATTCGCTCTTGGCAAAGCACAGATCATTGATCCTTCACTGTTTGTACAGCACCCCACATGTTTCCAAAATACATCTGGACAATTCACCTGACCTCGACGTGGTTGCCAAAGTTCTCAAGGACGTCTTCGAGGTGAGTGCCTATGAGCAAATGCACGTTCGATGACATTGAATGGAATCCGAACAACATTGACACCACTTGCACTGGTACTAAGTACTTGATTCATGGCCCCCTTTTGCAGATCGAAACCACCACACTTGAGGAAAGAAAGATAGTACACGAGGTGTGTGACATCATGGGCGAGCGAGGTGGAAGGTTGGCTGCAGCAGGTCTCTACGGAATCCTGAAGAAGATCGGAAGAACCGGCAAATCTCGAAACGGATCCAAGAAGAAGACCGTGATTGCAATGGACGGTGGCCTGTTCGAACACCACGTCCGTTACCGGTCATACATGGAGGAGGCGCTCCAGGAGTTGATGGGTTCTGACGCAGCGTACGAGGTGGCGTTGAGACTACAGAACGATGGTTCTGGAATCGGTGCCGCTTTGCTTGCCGCTTCCCACTCACACTTCAAATAGGATAAAACGCACACAAAGCTTAGGGGGATCATGGCAGGTGATGAGCATCGCCTGTTTTGCATGCCTGTACAATATTCCGAGTCCTGATGATCTGTCTATCTTCTGAGATGCACCCATCGTCTGTACCATTTGTACCGGCTTATCGTACCGCAGGAAGACGCCGTTCTTCAAGTCGTTGTCTATCTGGTGACCAAAACCGCAGAGTTTCAAGCTGAGAGGCCTAGTAGGGGTAGTGTAGGCAGAGTCAAGTTTTATTGTCTCTGGTCAGTTACGTAGAACAGTTTGCGGTTGAGTCTACCCATCTCATCTAGATCTGCACTGCACACCTTTCAATAAGCTGGTTTCACTTGAGGTTGCCGTGCGCAAGCTAGTATCTGGCACAGAGATGAGAGGTTCATTGCTGCGCATTCTCTTAGCAATCCTCACAATTTCCGAGGTGATTGTGGGGTGATGGAGCTGGGCGTCTTTATAAAACTCCATCATAGATGCGTAATAAACCGAGTAATCCTGTCAAGATGAAAGTTGACGCGCTTTCTCTCTTCCATCCTTCCCTGTATCCATGATTTTGCATGAGTTTTGCATGTGTTTTCACAACATGTCGACGCTTGAATCTTAAGGTTTGCAGCTCATTCCTCTGCACTCACATAGCACCAGTGTTGCACAGCACCCGCCTTGTGTGCTGCACCATAACCGCCTAACGCTTGTCATTCTGCCGCGACAATAGCTCCATGTCTTAACCAGAACTTGGTTCACGCGGACATGCTCGTTGCCTTGATTGACAAGTTTTTAACAGCAATTTATCAAGTTTGGAATCCCTGCAACAAGTCTTTTTCTTGCTTGGTTTCCTTCCTCACGGCATCTCAGTCCAAGTTATACAATTGGACTTATTCAATGGATAATGATGGAAGAAGGGTGAGTGTGGAGAGAAGGTGCATACACATGTCTTTGTAGCAACATTATGAAAAGTTAGATGAAACTAATTATGCTGATTTTAGGATGTGTATTTGACTGTTTTTATCACATGATGTGGGATTGTGTGTAAATGACAATGGAAAGAAGTGTGCATATAAGAAATTCTAATAATAGTAGTGTAGTAACAGGAAAGTTGAAGATAAGAAAAAGGTACATAAAGAGATCTCATTGCACACATTTCTATGTACTTCCTTTGGTTTTTACTGGAGCAAGTACAATCAAATCTTATCTTACAACACTTTGAAAACTTAAATTATTGTAATTTAGACAAGTTGTAAAGCAATATATATTTTTTAAAGTCTTTTTTTTTTGGTTGTCAAATACATTCATATATTATTTTTTATCTAAAAGAAATACCTTTTCATAATATATATATATTTAGATATATATAAATGATATGAAGTATCTAATGTCTCTACTACACTAATGTTAGAAATAAAATAATAAGTTGAATAATTATATTGTCTCCTAAATTATAGATTCTTGTGTTTAGAGATCCATACTGAGAATTTGGTACAAAATTGTCTTTCTTAATGATAATAATAATAATAATAATAATAAGATGCTATATCTTTGTGAGGTTTTTAGTCAGCATTTATAAGAAGATGACTGGGGGCAACACTTACAATCTTTTGATAGCTGAAAGTCATAATAGATTACCATTAAAATATAATAAACTACAAAAATAATAAACCAAAAATCTAGTTAATAATTTATATTTCATTCAATATGTTTAATATAAAATATTAACTAGATGCATTATTGTATTTTTGAATGTATTATCCTTTGTTCTTTGAAAATTTATAGTAATTTTTTTTTAAATATAAAAAAATAAGGTATATTACAAAATAAAATATTTCAAAAATATATATATTAATTTAAATATTTTTTATATTAAACTATAAAAAATAATTTAATAATTAATATTTTACTTTATTTTTTATATTTAATTTTTTTAATTGTAATTTTTATTTCATATTTAAAAATTATTATTCTAATTCTAATACATTTTGCAAAGTGTCTTTTTATTCTTTAAGGTTATTTAAGAACAATCAAAATAGATTTATACTAAATAGTCTTTTGTAGGATTGAATTGTTAATGACTACTTAAAAATATTGGCATTATGAGATAGCCTCAAGTTGTGAATAACAAGAATTGATTCTTAATAAGATCACAAAGAACTTAAATGTTGACAAAGATTTGTAAGTCCAACTAAATGTGGAATCTAACAAAGTTTCAACAAGTCTTTTTGAATCTTAATACTTATAATTGATCTTAATTAAAGAATTATCTTATAGTTTAGTATCTCTATTTTTAATTGCTATCTTATAATGATTAAAAAGTAATTGAAAGAGATTATAGTAAAACTCAGAATGACATATTGTAGAATAGTAATATTGTCAAAGATTGTAGGTGCATTAGGAAATAATGCTATAATATGACATTAGAGAAGTATAGAAGTCTATTCTTGGTTTAGATTAGCTATTTATTTTTATAAAATTAGGGATGTAATTATATAAAGCTAAAACAAAATGAAAGAATACTAATTTTATAAAAATTTGTATACATGAGTTTTGTCTTTATTAATCTTTGCTTTGATTTTAGATCTTGTAGTAATAAAAATAAAAATTTATGTATAAAATTTTGATATTTCTATATATGAGATATAAAATTAATTATCTAATAATTGATTACTTATTTATTATTACTATTATTATATTAAAAAATGATGTACAACTATATAATCCAATGTTGCTCAAATTATTAATATTATGATTTTTGATACTTGATCAAAGAAACTTTTGAGCAATGAATATTAATAATTATGAAGCATTTGTAAAATAAAAATTCTATGTGTATGTTTATATATTGAGATTAAAAAAATAGTATTTGGAAAAGAATTTATGTTGTTATTTAGTGTCCTAAAAACATATTTATTTGTAATTTTGGTGAGTGTATATGAAAATTTTAAATAACTTTATCTTTCAATTTTTTTTATTTCATCAAAATCGTTTTTCCAACACATTCTTGAGTATTTCAACTGGAAAAGAAAAAAAAAAAAAAAATGACAAGAAATGTCTTTTTTATCGTAAGCTTTGTGTAGAATATAAAATATTGAAAATTCTGAAAAACAGTTTTAGATCCTTCTATTGATATGTTAATACCACAGATCATTATTTGTAATATAAAATAGGTATAAGATTACCTGTTATGCAAAAAGGGTTTAGAATCATGTAAAATCAAAGCTCTAATGGAGGTTTTTACACATGGTTTTTTACCACAAACAAAACCACTCAAAACATGAAACATCAATCCTCTTTTTTCCCTTGATTATATATATATATATATATATATATATATATATTGTCAAAATTGGATACAATTTTGTGTACTTTGTTGTGTAAATACTTCCATTTTCTTCTCCTCATTCTCATTACTACACAATGATCATTTCATTATTGTAATGATTTCTACTACCACATACCCACAAACTCATTTTTACATTGTCGATCATTTTTATGTTAATTGATATTTCCTCTTAACTTAAACAATTTCATAAGACTTCTTTCTTCTTCTTCTTCTTCTTTTTTTATTTTTAATTATTTGAGAAAGTGGGAAAAATAAAAAGTTCCTTTCCACCATTGAAGGTGTGAGTATGCCACACACCTGCTATGAAAGATTTTTCTTCTCTTTTTCTTTTTCTTTTTTATTTTTTTTAAAGATTGTTAATTAGTGAATGAGCTGAGCTGGCAGTTTTCTACAAAACAAGACTTCTATGGTAAACTTGTTATTCTGATTGTTGATATGGGTTGGTCAATTTAGTTGTTGGCAGTTTAAAGGATGCAAAAGGAGAAGCCGTGGTTTTGCTTACAACTGCCCATTTCTGTGTTGAGAAGGATGGATTTTTGTGGTTTTACTATTTTTAAGATTTGGGTATGTATACAATTTTGTGGACAATTTTGTGGAGAAGAATAGATTGATAGAAAACTATCTAGAGAATAAATGAAGTCAGATCCCCCTTTGATGGGTTGGGATTTCATTGACTTAATTTTTTGATACTTTGTATTTTTCTTAAAATTGAGGATTCAAAAGCAACTAATGCATACTCATGACAATGACTACTTTAGATTAAAAAAAGAATGAATCTAAAAATTCCTTTGAAAATTAACTTCTTCAACTGAAACTAGGAAACATTTTTCAACGGTTAATTGCACATGTCATGTTCATTGCATTTGTTGCATTTTCTTTTTTTTCCTTTCTTTCTTTTATTTTCTCCTATATTTTTACTTTTTTCTTTTGTAGCTTTTAAGATTCATTGTCCTTACCAATTACTCAATTTGTCTCTTTCTTTCTATCTTGTGCTATATTATTTCTTACATAAAACAATTCATGTTTTGTTTCTACTTTATCTGGAAGTAAAGGAATTACATGCACGTAAAAACATTTAAATCTTACGTTTTTTTTTACATTAAAAAATCGTTGGAAAATAGGTTTTAAAAATAAAAATAGAACTGAGATTTGATTCTACATAAATTTTTGTGGTTGTATGGCTTATTTATTTGTGCAAACATACATGAGTAAGAATGTAGATATAGAAGGCAGGATTTGAATGAAGGAATTATATCAGATTGAAATAAAATAAACAAGATAATAATTAATAAAATTTAATATTACATCATACGTTTTATTTTGAACATGTATATGAGTATGAATATGTATATATATATATATATATATATATATATATATGACATGGAAATCAAGTTTTTTCTTTTGTATCATTTTTGGAAACATTTGAAGGTTACAATTACTAATGTTTTATTTTACAAATCCATAATTATATCAAACATAACAATGTTACATTTGTCAAACTAAAACATAGTTTCATGTTCATTATCCATCCATAGGAACTATATAAAAATCTTTAAAATTAAATAAAATGCCCTTTCTTGTTTAATTCAATGCTATACAGTTTCTGGATATTTTACAATTTCTTTTAACAAGCAGTATGTTATATTCACGTATGTTTATATATCTCAATGGTTGCTTTACAGAATCCAAATTTACACAAATACTACTTAAACTTTCACAGTGCTGTATTGATTCAAATGTCTCTCTCAACAACCTTAAGAGATATTAAAATGTATAGATTATCTGGTACAACTCAAAACACATGGACAGCCAGCTTTATTAAGTCAGAGCAAGCAAGTTTTTTTTATTTTTTTATTTTTTTATTTTATTGATACACATAGCATGCAACACACATGAAACAGACATATTTCAAAAAGCACCAAAAATATACATTCAGTCCTTTCAAATGCACAAAATCTGCCATCAGGGCTGCACGAGATAAACTCTATTTTAATAATCTAGCATTAACTACAACGCCATCTGATCAACTGTTCACTTCACCGCTTTAACAGCGAAGATAAAAATGCATCAAAATCCAAGGAAAGTAACCAAAACTATTTTTTTAAAAAACAAAAAGAGTCAAAGTCGAACAGAAGAATCTGAGGCATAAGATTAATCTGACCCATGTGAATCACTGCTACACGAGAATGTAGATGTGTCTCCTGCAGGACACAGGGGTTCAATTGCAGGCAGCATCCACGCTTCCATGCCACTCAACGTCTCTGAAAGTAACTGAAGACTTCCACCACTCTCCTTGAATTCCTTCACACGCTTCCCCAAAATTTGTTCAAATCTCATGCGCTCTTGTTTTTGCAAGGCTCGAAACTCCCTTGCGATGTTCTTGTGTCTCTGCAGTACCAACGAGGACACATGCCGTGGTAAGTTGTGATGGCAAGAGTGTACATGAAACACGACACTTTTGGTGATAAGTTTCGGTTCAGTAGTTCTGTGAATGATTAAACGACAAAAAGAAACTGGGTATCATACCTGAGAGCATCTCTCAAGTTCCAGATCTCTCGTCTTTCGAAGTTCGTCGCTCCCTTGAGCAGCCCGTTTCAACAATACCTTCATCTCATTTTGTTGCTTGGTTCGGAGCGCTTGTTCTTTGAGCCCTACCTCAGTTGCATATGCAACCCGTGTTGCTTGTAGCTCTGTGTGCTCCATCCTATCCACAATATGTTTAACTTTATCTGCCTCCAAATAATTCCCTTGTTTCCCAAGAAAGGTCTACACAGCCATAACATTGAGAAAACCAATGAATTAGACATTATGCCGCCAGAAAGTAGTATGACTAAGCTGAACAAAATATCGTGTCAAGTCGACCTGATAGAAGGACATGATACAGGGAATTTGCATATTGTATACAACCGGCTGATGTTCCACATAACATGGATTACTTGCACTTTCTTATGTTTGAGAACCTCCCGAGACCATTGAGGTTTGGTGGGCATTTTTGCAGCCATTCGTTGTCTAAAGGCTTGTAAAACACTGATTTGTTGACGTTTCAGCTTGGCAGCATGTTCTACAACAGCTTTGAGAAACTCTTGTAGCTTCTCATCCCAAAGCTGCTCAAACACAAACATAACCACTAAGATGAACTCCGAAAGATATGAATGTCAGCTTTGCAACATATATATATATATATATATATATATATATATGCACACACATGTATTTACAGCTTTAAGTACACAAATCCTATGCAGTAGAATCCTCAAAGAATGCTATTTTACATACTCGATTTCTTTCAAACATTTCTTGTTTATATGCTTTTTCAGATTCTTTTCTTTGCTTTTGGTGTCTTTGGACCATGACTCTCTTCCTCTTATTATCTTCCAAGACCTGCAAACGTATCCCGAATGAATCATGCTGAAGTTTCTAAACATTGCATGACAACTGCATCTCATACATGAAAGTGTAGACGTTGCACGAGTTCCGTGAAACAACACCTTAACCCCGTTAAGGCGCTGAGTAGCAGCTCGTGCCTCCACGTAATTGCCATCGAATTCAGCTTTCTTCTTGTGTGCTTCCAGGGCATTGATAACCTCCATTACCTGCACATGCAATTTTTCAACATCTTAAGCTCGAAGCACCAACAAACACTTTAGCGTAGAACTTGCACATGTGCATTGATGAATCATGCTGTCAATAACACAGTATTGTAATGTAACTACACCTGGGGAGAGAAAGCAGGGTGGATGAGCTCTATGGAAGTTCTCCTGCTGGGACTCCTTTGCAACGTTCTGAACGACCTAGCTGATGGGTTTTCTGTCACGCTCACGCTACTCCTGCAGTTGTGATTTCCATCCACAAGAGTCCGCAAGTACTTTATTAATACTAGAAAAACTTCAATTTCCTTAACAAGATCTCCATGTTAACTTTTAAGAGAATTTATTTGAACTTGAGATTAACTTCGATTTCTATACCGAGATCCAAAGAATGAAGGGTAATGAGGTTCCTTTGTCTCAAGATGCGCCGCTAGCTGCACAAGTGTAGTCCATGAGATCAAAATTTCCGATCATCACAGTAATTCGGTAATATACCTGACACTAAGTGTCGAGGTTAAAATCAGACAAGAAAGCAGAGTACATGTAAGATCATTGGCACCTCCACGGATACTGGCAAAGTCAATCAAACCACCATAACGATAATTGCAACTGAAGCAGTAGAACTGTGGGTAGATTGCATACCAGAGAGACGGGGATGCCACTCTTCTGACCTGTCGTCTCTTTGAAAGCATAGTAAGTCATCTTGAGCGAGGAGACATCGTCTTGCTCGTAGTTGCTTGCCAGCGAAGGCGAATGAATCTTAGCATCCCAATACCTGCTCGATTCGGACGCTAACAACGAATTCTTTGAGTACTGGTTATCACCATCCGCATCATACTTGGGCATTTCAGTGGTGGAGATGAACTCCCCTATACCCTCATCAACAACCAACTCCTTCACAAACTGCGAAATCTCCTTCTCCACATCAGTTTGCTGGTTAATCTCTGAGAGTGTCATCTGAAACGGCGCGTGGTCATCCTCGCTACCCGAAGACCTTGAAGACGATTTGTCAAAAGACTTCCGCGACGATTTTCTTGAAGACTCGCTTGAAGGAGTCAGATTTCGTGACAGAGATCGTCGCAAGCTGCTATTAGCGCTGTTGGAGCTTGCCATTTCAGTTGAGTAAGATTGACTTGAATCGACGTATTTCCCGACGGGGGTCTTGGTTACATCAGGCAGAAAATCCTCTATCTCCTTTAGCTCCTCCAGCATTCCTCCTCAATCCTTGGTGAATAACAATGAAATCGATTTTTACTGTGGATCCTGTTGCTGTCTTTTCTATGGGCTGCATTGACACAGCTTCTTATCCTATGTCCATACAGATCCACATTGTTTACGCCGAGTGCTGCTGTGGTACTGTCTGTCGAATGATGCATCCCATCCTCGCACGTCATGGGGATCACACATGTGACGCATAGTTCTCTCTAAAAGAATTTGACAGTAAGCATCGAGATCCGACTAGAGATCTGGGCAACGAGGAAGAGCATCAATGGCGAACATCACCTAAAATCCAATCAATCTCGTGGAGGGATAACGGAGCAACGCAGGCCCCGGCAGTTCCATGCTGCAAAATTTTAAAGAAACAGAAATCGAAGACCTGAAGCTTGTAGAATCGAACGGAGTGAATAATCTTACAGACTGTGTCCCTCAAGATCTACATGGTATCAGGGCCACCATTGTTGGAATGCTGTATTACTTCCAGAAACCGATAGAATCGGCTACAATCCCATGTGACTTCTATGGCGTGGGAAACTGCCTCAGTATCCATTCTTCAAAACCAGAATCCCACTCATACAGTTCAATGCCACCGTTATGTATCTGTGTGTGCCATACGCTTGTGCCCATATCAGCTACATTTCAACCCCAGCGCTCGAAAATATCACCTTATATCCTCCCTCAACTTAACCAATCTCTCAGTGAATCAAAGTTCGTGTCCATGCCGCTTAAGCTCATCAGGAGAGGCATAGTCCCAATGGCCCGCTCCCAGAATAACCCACAAGATGCCACAGAAATTCGGCCATGCGTCGTCAACAAAGATAACAACCCAACATACACAACAGCCACGTTTCCGCTGCGATCATCTACAAAGCCCTAGAAACGCAGAGGCTACAGCAGCTGCCACTCTTCAAATTTCATCAGAAGACGTAAAAGGAGACGACGTCAGGCAGCGGTTGGGCATTCGGGAGTCTGATTGTTAAGCATGCAATGCTTACGTGGTCTCTACGTAAAATTGGAGATCTAAACTTATTCGGTAATTCTCCCCTAAATATGCGGTATGCTCCTACCACGTCATTTTTTCCTCCATCCAATTGTGGATTCCTTTCGTCGCAATTGGATTTCGTGGAGTGACGGGCTCGATTTGCAAAACTTTTTCGATCGTGGGTTTTGTTCTAAGAAACCTCTGTCTGTGGTGCTTTTGGATTTGTTGCAGAATTTCCTCGTATTGCAATTCCAAACTCTTGTATTGTAGATCTGTAGTGGGAGTATCCCGTTAGCAGTATTATTGTTTGAGTCTCCCGGAAGTGGAGCTCGGAAACTGGCACGCGGTTTGTTAGGTTAAGATTTTAGAGCATATGATTTGGAAGAGGAAACCAATCAGCAAATGAGTTGGATCACTGGCAGCCCTAAATTTTTATAAGCTTGCGGACTGAATTTTTTTTTCTTCCTTTTCGTCTTGTGTTTTTTCCCAAGTCGAAGTGCTTCAGAAGTTCGATTTGTAGTTTCTCACAAGTGCACCAGATTCTGGGTTCCATTTGGCGTTACAGAGGATGTTCTAGCTCTTGACTAGCTGGCGTGAGGAGGTTATTGGGAGTTAAGGATCGAGTGAAGGGAGTTGTGGATTGGTTGGCGGTGATTTTAAATACGAAAAATGTCGAGCACTGCCTGCTTCGTTATCGTGTCGCGCAACGATAGTCCTATTTACGAGAGTGAAGTTGGCACTGCCCCGAAGGTATTGCTTCTTACCCATTTTAGAGCACCATGTCTATAAGCTATCAACTGAGAATTTTTGAAAGTTACAAGGTGCATTTCGATTAGGGTTTCGTGGTTCGAGTGTGGGTTTGTGGGCTCTTTAAGCACTAGTGTATTTGCGGGAGATTGAATTCGACCTCCAACGGTTTCCCTGAATATTGTGTTCGTTGTACCAAAGGTGAATTATTGGTTGATGCAGACTAAATGTGTAGGAAATTGTTTACCTCTTTAGTGTGGTTTTTCGCGGGAAAACTTTGCAGTTTAATTTGCAGCGTGAGAGATTGTTTTTCGTGACCGTGTTCTAGACAGTGTAATTCTGGAAGACATGTTCCATCTGCAGTTGTATTTTGTATTTGTCAAAGCCGATAGCTGCTCTTCAGGCGTCACGGATGCCCTTCAGCAGATGATACAGTTTATGTCTTCATGCGCGTGATTGACTCATCATTCGGGCTGCAGAAAGACGAGGCGGCACACTTGCATCAATTTATACTACACGCTTCTTTGGACATTGTCCAAGATGTTGTTTGGAACACGAATAACATGTATGTCTTCATCACCATACTTATTATACCATTAAGAATGAGCAAGATATTTTCGTGATAAGGAGAGTGTCGATTCAATGAAGTGGTTATTGATCTCTAGGGGCTTATGGGGACCGTTCCATTGCTGTAATCAGTCAGTGATGAGTTCAGGAAAAAGAGTCGTTTAGTTGCCAGAAAGTACATGAATTAGTATCATGTTATTTCGCGACTTGTGAGTACGTCCTGTTTTGTTCATCTGTTTTAATTTTCCATTTACTTCCATGATCGTCGCATCTCATAGGCATGTATTATTCTACATCTGCTACATGTTTAAAAAACAAACTGTGCTTCTGTTGACGTTTTTCCAGGTTTTTGAAGGTAGTAGATAAATTTAACGACTTGCTAGTCTCCGTGTATGTGACTGCGGGCCATACTCGGCTCATGCTACTGCACGACTCTCGTAATGAGGATGGTATCAAGAACTTCTTTCAAGAAGTCCATGAACTCTACATCAAGGTAATTGCTTACATCTTTACAACCAGAAACCCTCCTTTCCTCTTTTTCTATGTTTTGACTGGTACAACACCAGCATTATCGCAGCTGATGAATTTACCACCTTAGCCGAGCAGAGTAGATTATTGGAAAAGCGAGCACATAGCTGTCCTTCTACGTGTTATTCAATATGTGCAGCACAAGCTTGAATTTTTAATTGACTGTCGTCCTGCTCTTCATTCAATGCACCTGTTGCAGTACTTGATTCTGTGCACATTATCGTCGATTGACTGCCTCATCGTCTAACGCAAACTCCTTGGGCTGCAGATGCTGTTGAACCCTTTGTATGTGCCTGGGTCACGCATTTCCTCTCCATTTTTCGATACACGGGTCCGAGCACTTGCTAGGAAGTACCTTTGAGGGCTGCACAGCAAATAATGATATGTTTACAAGACATCTACAATGAAGACATCTAGTTGGTATACCGCCCTGGAAGAGAGTTGCGCAACTATCTTGGAGATAGCTGCGTCACTCGTTCTTGCAGAAGCCGCTGTATACTCGGACAGTTTAGGTGTTTATATCCATGTTGATTAGATGCTAGACACTCTCACGTAAGACTTGGTTTAGTGCAATTGGCTCGAATGTCACTAAAGCGCACTAATTCTTTTTGGGTATGAAGGTCAGAACTTTTATTCTCTAGTTGATTTCATAATTTCCACTGCATTGTGGAACCCATATTCCCACACACCTGTAACTTGGTCTTGGAGGTTCCTGTCCTTTTACGTTGCAGCTTGTATTTAATGTAAGTTATGGCCCCGCACAATTATTGTGCATTTTACTGTCGGGATGAGTGTCTTCATGCTAAAAGTTAGGTCTGCTTTTCAGAGTTTGATGTAAAGTCAGAGCAAGCAATGGGAAAATAGCGTATTCAGTGTAATTAGAGGACGATTGTGTATACGTTTTTTTCTGGTAGGTGCTACTCTGAAAACTGTTCATTATGTTGAACAGTTTTCGTTTACAAGTGAATTTGTGTTACAAATGAGCATACAAAAAAGTCGATTTACAAAAAATTCGATTTATTTATCTTGCTGCAAATTACAATGTTGATGGTCAACCGGCCATTGATTTGGCTTCCGTTGGTTCGTAAGTCTGCGGTACGTATACAAAAGAAGCAGCATTGAACATAACGAAAAGAAATTTTCTTTTCAGGTTTGCACTTCGTTGAATTTTGCCCTAAGCAAAGTACTTATACATATCACAAAGCTAGATTATCCCCTTCACGATGACTTCAAAATTGCAGTGGGCCACTTCCCTGCTTGAGCTCTTGCTGTAGATAGACTAGAAATCATGTGTTGCGACGCAGAATTGGATGTTCACGAAGCAACCATGAATCGGCAGCTTCTGATGATTGAACGCCGTAACACCGTAGGTCGTTGTCGAGTTTCTCCATAGATTCCTGGCTTGGCATTGCGAGCAATATCTTCACGCTTCTCCTGCCTTTCCCGCAGGAAGTGAAGAGGATAACCTCGCGGTCGGGGAGACAAGCAGGGCTAGTGCTCATTGGGTAGCCCCAACCGAAGTCCACTGTGTGGAAGGGGAGCCGCAACCAGGTGGTGACGAGAAGAGTGGCAACGAGTGCAGGTCTTGAGCGAGTGAGCTCGTAGAAATCCAGAGCAGAACGCATGTAGTCGTCGTTGATCATGGCAATGGCATCCTGTACGAGCTTCACAGCGTATGAGAGAGGTTGCTGAGTCAATTCTGCGGCGGTGGTGATGGCGCACGTCAAAACGATGCCGTTGCCAAAGAAATGCTCTGGCAGGGGGGGGTCGAACTTGCTCCGGCCATCGACGGCGAAGAGGAGCCGGGTCTTCTGTTTGAGTGGCATGTCCATGGCTTGTGTCCTGGCCCGCCATGTCAATGCCGTGAGCGCTTCGAATGTGGAGACTTTCTGTATGGCACCGTCTTCGAGAATTGCTTTCTTCACAGCTTCCAAATCGTCGGGTGTGAGAATGAAGTTCTTGTACACGAGACTATCGCCCATGAGGAGCTCCCCACCAGAGAGATCCTCGATTTCGTCAAACTCGTGGTGGGGGAATTCTACTCTGGGTGGATCTCGGGATCGCAGCACACTGCGATCGATGTGAGGGGGGTGGGTGATGTCGACACCACGGGCGAGCTCCCCCCACGCTTGCAGAAACTCGTTGGCGGAGAGCCCATCCATCATACAATGGTTGTTGTGCAAGCTGAGAGAAAATCCCCCACACTTGAATGTAGTAACCTGCAGGTTGGCCAATAATATTAGTCGTGTGACTTATCAAAGGCCACGAATGTTTCGCCAATCTATTGTGTAACGGCACTCAGCTCCTACTGCTAATGTTTAAGCACTTTAACAAAAACAGAACTCGAAATTGCGTGTGCACCTGTACGATCAGCGGAGGCACTTCAAGAATGTTTTTGGCATTGGGGAACTCGTAAACCAGCTCCCGCATGAACGGGGTAGGGCTGGATATCTCCCCTAACTCTGCAATGCACTTGTTCGCCGTGGCCTCCACAAACACAGCACCTTGCTCCTGGCAATCAACCTGCAGCTTGAAGTCCTCGCTGATGCCCAGCCTCCCTGCCATGGGATAGAAGTGCACCAGCAACTTCGACAGCGCATCCTTTATGACTGGTGCAGGGTCTTCATGTTTCTTCTCCTCCCGCGCCATGAAGAAATACACCGTGCGCATGCTCACCGCAATGTTCTGGTCCAAATTGTTCAAAAAATAGACAAGGTGCGGCGTCGACTCCGCAGGGACCACCAGCTGCGGCTCCTTCACCTCGACGATCAGCTTCGGCTCCTTTACCTCGACGTCCAGCTTCTTCATCGCCATCTCGTCACCTCCAGGCATTGTTTCCTGCTGCTACTGTTACACACTTCCACTAGCTTGCTTCTTCTCAGGATCTTTGCAACGGAAGGGCCAGGAACCTGGAAATGAGCTGGCCCACCGCAAGCTGGTTCAACCTCTCGACCCCCACCGTCCTTCCGAGCAGCACATTTCAGCTCAAAATTCGTGTTCTAAAAGACCAAACCTGACACACACACACAAAAGTCCTACTGCAGGACCTGACAGTACATCACTTCGAAGTTACTATCCTGACGAATCCTAGAAGGATCCACTCTCAAATTTCCTCTCCTCCTTCCTCCTCTTCTTGCAATCAGGTAGACACCCCAGCTTGACTAGAGCGACATTGCAATATTCCTGTTCCAAATCGACCAACGCCTCTCTATCAGCTATGGCGTCCCTGACATATATTATTCGGAAAGATGGGGTGGTGGGCATTGACGTAGAGGAGATCGAGAGGCTGATCTGGCAGGTAGGGCAAGGCAGCGCGGCTATAATGAAGGCTAGGGTGCGACTTGGAAAAAAATTGGGTGCGCCATGAATGTCCCCCAGTCCTTGCTCTCGCCATTACTGCACTTGCAGGCAGTGAGATTCATGGCAGTTGGAGCTCACCACTTTCATGGCTGCTTTCACTTGAACTCATCAAGTGGTGGCCGCTCCCCCCTCCTCCACCCTGCAAAACAGTCCCCCTTGCAGGTGTGTTGGAGTTTAGCTTAACCTCCCCCTCAATCCATCTTTGATTTTGTTGTCTTGGTTACTACGCCTGCCTCTCACCAAACTCCTCCCCCCTTATCTCTCCCACCAGTTTCAATGCATTTGACTGACATCATCAGTCAATCTCTAGACGTGGCTACCGTCATGCTTTGACTAGTGGTTTTGAGCTGCACTGAATTTTCCTGCTAAGACTAGTTTTGTGGGCAGTCATGCGCAGTGAAAAGCAGAGTAGAGTTGCAAAATTAGTCTGCAGAAAACGTAGTGGTTATAACGGTACATGACACTGGGTTGTATTGCTGCTATTCACACTCACTTTCTTTCTCAAAATGCGAGTTTACATATGTATGTATGTATTTTTGGTGCTTGGGCGTATATGTGGTCGTCGCCGCTGTCAGGCTACTCATGGCCTAAACCACTCATGGCAACAATAACGCTGGAAAATAACATCACTAGATTGTCAAAGTCTGAAAAGCGTGGCATTATGGTTGTGAGGATTAGCCACCAAAATGTTGTAAAGGAGTATGAGATTTGTGGTAATAATGAAATTGTTTTTATTTTCTATCCATAACATGCATGAGCTTTTTATTGATTTTTAAATCTTATTTATGTTACAACATTTTGGCCAGTTATAAAAAAGTAATTTAAGTTGTGCTCAATAGATACAAGCTTAAAATAATCAATCAAGCAATGGCTTCAAAAATATATTTTTTAATTATTTTTATTACTATTATTATTAAATTTTATTAAAATATAAAAACTTGTGACAATTGATATATATTTATTTATTTATATAGGGAGTTGCTAAAGCAACATTTTCATGTTGTTAATGTGACACCTACTTGGGTTCTACTGATTAATTTAGTCCATCCTCCATTTCATGTTTCCAATCCATGTCCCCCATCTTATATTCCCAATCCATGTCCCCAATCCATGCTCCATGTCAAATGTTTCCAATTTATGTTCCTTTCCCAACCTCCTTTTATCCCCCATTCTTGTCCCTTATTAATGCAAATGGCAATAATAATTTTCAAAAGAGTTGTTTTTTCATAAAACTGTTTTGAGACTAAAGTGTTGTTGATGTTGCATTGCAATCTTCTAATTGCAATTAAAAAAATAATACATCTTGTTTTAATTTAAATATTTTTGGATTATTTGATTATATATATATATATATATATATATATATATATAAGTAAATTGATTTAACATTGTGTTTGATTGGTCTTGATTAGATTTTTAAAATTTTGATTAATTTTTTTAAAAATTAAAAATTAGAATTAAAACCCTATTTTAATACGAAATTAAGACTAATTTAATACCAAAAAAATACAAAATTCATTCCTTCAATTGTTGGAGAACTTGAAATTGACAAAAAAATACTTTACATTACTATATGTGAAGGTTTAACACACATCCAAGATAGGTAGAAATATAGAGAAATAATTTAATATTGCATTTTAAGTCAAGAAAATTGTGAATCCTCAGTTAACCTCATAGTTGTATAAAAATCAACTTTCTTTTGTCTAAAAATATGTCTTGATCCTAAATGGTTTTTGCACATGAACTTTCAGTTTAAGAATGCCTTTACAATATGTTTCAAAAATATTATATATATATAACCCCTTCAATTTTATATTAAATTTATATAAATATAAATATAAAAATATATATATAAAATAGACATACACACACTCATACTACTCCTACCCACAAAGAAAATAAATTTAAGAAATAGAAGTGGGAAAGGATAAAAATTAAAACAAACAGACACATCGGTGATCAAGTGAAGTCCAATTCAAGGGCAAGTCAAAACACTGCAGCTGATTGATGAGCACAACTAAAATGTACAATGCCTCTAGAATGCAGCTACAGTTGATAAGGACTGAAATATGTGATTATAATATTTAGGACAAAATGATGGGATTTAATCAAACCCCAATTTTCTGCGTTTAGACTGCAGAGATTCCTCTCAGCACAAACAGTACAACTCTGTTTTGGTAACAGTCAGAGAGGAGCAGTGAAGAGGTGAAACAATTTCCTATCAGTGAACCTCTAGAGCCCAGCAATCCAACGAAGTTGTCACATGGAACGCGTTCAACATGCTGTTGATGAGCCCCACTTGCACAGCAGCATCCAAATCTGGAATCTCAGAAGCTTCATGAAGTCTTAGCATGTGAGTTTCGTATCTGCATCTTCGTGAAGTGTGATGTGACGTCAGTACTGCACTGGGATTCAGCACTGGGTTGAAACATGATTTGGAGTGAAGACCCTCTCTGGTTCCAGAGAATCTGAGAGGACTCTATCTCCAGAAGCAAAAAAGAGTTGCAGAAGAGTATATCCAGTGGTCGGAGAGTTTGAGTGTGAATGTCAAACATTGTCTTGATCGTAAGTTATTAAACCTTGTTTCTACATCGGTTTGTAGCTAATGAATATCACATGCCTACAAGTTGAGTCTCTTTAGATTCGTTCCTCACAGCTCCTATATTATCCGGAGGAAAGCGTCACTTACAAAATTTGAAACTAGAAACGGTGCCAACATTGTCTATCTGCACAGAGAGCCAAACCAGGTCCAAAAACAAAATTGCATAAAATACAAAAACTACTGATAAAATACCAATTCACAAAAGCGAAGGTTCTCATTTCCGAGAGACTATCTTCCAAAGTTCAGTGTGGACAGACATCACTGAAAATCACTAACACTGACCTTATATCTCAGCCCTTCTATTTACTGTGTCTTAATACCTGAGTGTGAAGGTCTGGGTGAAAGTTATCAAATAAGATTTAATCAAAATTTCATTGAAGGAAAAAGTTCTATATCTACAACCTAAATCTTCAACCAGTGCCTAAGCAACTTGTACTACAAAACTTTACTACAGCGGGCGAAAAAATTGCAGAGATCCTCCCTGTAAGTGAGGAGGATATAACTGGTATGAGAGTGAAGGACGTCCACCCTGAGCGCAAGGAGGAGGGCCCCTGAAGTGCTGATGCTGAAAATGTGGTGGAGGTCCTTGTTGCGAATAACCATAAGGAGGAGGACCCATAGGTCGTCCATCATACTGTCCAGGCTGGGGACGTTGCTCCGAATTAGAACTTCCTCCTTGCTCTGCACCACTAGAATCTTGTTTCATAACCGATCCCATGCACTGCGGATCCATGGAGGGATAAATGGGTCGATCATTTGATTAAGAGGGCGGAGGTAGATTAAAGTAGTTTGCGGTTTGTTCCTGACCAGGATGAAGATGTTGCTGAGGAATAAGTGCACGAGGAAGCATTCCACCATGTGACAGGATCCCAAATGCTGAAGTAGATGTCCCTTCTTCATTCTTTCCACCTGCAGCCTCCATTTCAGCCTTAGCAATTTGTGGCCTTTGCCACATGAGCTTCAACCTCAAGCCGTTAATAACTAGTTTGTTAGCCAGATGATCGGCAGCTTCCTCGGCACCCTCGCGGGTGGTGTAGGTAACAAATGCACACGCTCGTTGACGGACCATTCGAATTGATTCAATTTCCCCATAGCTATAAGACTGAACCTTAAGGTCCTCTTCTGTTACCCTGTCGATCAAGCCTCCAACATAGAGAGTCTTGATACTCATGTCTTCTGGGGGTGCCAAAGAAGGCATTTCCCCGGCCTTTCTGAGTAATTTAGCCGCCACAGGATCATTCACACTGCACAGGCAAGGGAACATATTAGCGAAGTGCACTTCAGAACAAAGCTTGTAAACAGTAGAATGCTGTTCTCTATTTTACTCTCGCTATAACGTCTAAATTCATGATCATGTGCCAAAAGAGATGACGAGCCATTAAAAAACCAGGAAAGATTCAATAAGACAGAAGTATATCCTTTTATATCACTTTGATATTAAAAATAATAAATAAAAATGAAAACTCTTAAGTGTGTTATATGATTTATTTAATTCTAATCAAGCTGTGACGTATAAGTAAACAATCACCTAAACTTCACTCATAATACCTAAAGCAACTGACCAAGATCATTTCGGTAGGTGAATTCAAAACTCAACGTATCCATAGTAGCGATCTTTGATATTCTGTTGAGAGAGTTCGCCTGTGACTGGCATTTCATGTCGGTACGGGCACTCAGATCCTCGTGTACACTCTTCCCTGACATAAAAACTACAAATATGTGCACAGTTTCTTTTGTAATATGGTGTGGTCCGTTGCAACTTCAGAATTGCATCAGTTGGACGAGCTTTGTCAAAAAAAGACTCATAGTCCAAACCAGCTTTAGCCTACAAAATTGAGGGGTGCGTGTAAATACCATTTGTAGTCACCACAAAAATTACAACCTACTTCAGCATTTGCTAACCATGTATGCCAGATGTTTGGTGACATATAACGGTCTCTCATTCGCGATTAAAAATTTGCGAAAAAATCAGTAAAAAGATAAATATACTGCTGTCTTAACCCCAAGCACTAATGAGAGTGAGCAAAATTAGGTCTTAATGATATCTTCCTGTCCTGATCCTCTGCAAAAAAACTCCATATTTACATCACTTTTGGGTATCGACTCGCTTGTGTTGATACCGAGAGCAGTGTCTCTCACTTGAACAGGCAGCCCGTACTCAAGATCAAGCAAACAGACTTGACACACATTCTTCAGCTTGCTATAAGTTTGACACACTTCAGTCTTCTCATACCGAGCATCTCTCCCAGACCTCCAACAGAACACGGTAAAAGGTCGAATGCAGATTTTACACTCCTTTTCGAAATTGGCCTTTGTCTAGACCACACCCACATCCACCAAGACTTCAGCCAGGGTCACGAACCCACAATGTAAAACCCTCAACATCAGACCCTAAACCCAAATCTCACACAGACCAACACAAGATGAGAAGCTACAAATAGATACACAAACACACACCATGCGCACGTAGGGATTGTCGCCCAAGCAACAGTCGCAAGTGATGGG